ATCACTAGGTCGCCGACTAGGTCATCCCCAGTAGCCAGTACCAGGTCGAGCAGCGCTTTGCCTCTCATTGGCCCATAGACTTCTTGAGTCAGGTAGAGGTCATCCACGCGTGAGAGGAAGCTCTGTGACCGCTCAGATTTTGCTGAGCGATCCTCCCATGAGATGTCTGGGTAATTGAAGTCACCCATGACAACCATGGTCCTGGAGCAAGCTGCCTCAGCCAGTTCCTGGGCAAACTCCTGGTTAAGCTCAGGACTTTGGGTGGGAGGTCTGTAATAGACTCCCACCATTGTGTCCCCTGTGCCGTGTTCCCCACGGATTTTAACCCAGAGGGTCTCCAGCCGTCCACCCTGGTTGCCAATATTGGCTTGCAGGGACATGTAGCTTTCCTTAACATAGAGAGCTACCCCCCCGCCCCTTTTCTCTACACGATCCCTCCTGTACAGGGTATAGCCATCTATCCCCGTGGTCCAGTCATGGGTGGAGTCCCACCAGGTCTCCGTTATCCCTATGACATCATAATTGTTTGCACTGAGCATGAGGATGAGCTCCTCCTGCTTATTCCCCAAGCTCCTGGCATTAGTGTACAGGCAGGCAAGTGCCCCCTGGGGGGCTCCTTCCTTGCACACAGATTTTACCAGGGCTGGGGCAGGGGTGGGCTCCCTGAATTTGGAAAGAGGAACCTCTCACAGGGACTCGGAGACATACTTTCATTTCCCTATTTCCTCCTCATGGACTGGAAAGGCGCAGTGCATCCCCTGTGTGGCTGCTACTCTATCTCATGCCTACAAAATCACAGAAGAGCTGTCTCTTGTTTAAATGCAGTTGCAACTCATCACGGCCAGGTACCCTATGTACCACATATTTCATTCCCTCCCTGACACACTAATGAAATCTGGATTGGCATTTAGGAATTATTTTCAAGAAAATGTCTGGTTAATTCCACTCCTATCCCCTTCCCCAAAAACAGGAGCAGAATTCAAGAGGGAGGTGGATTTGGGGGAAGACATTTTGATCAGTTCTGTAGCAATACATTCCCGATAGCAACCCCTGGCCCTGCTACGAGTTCTTTCCAAGTGAAAAGCTCCATTAGAGCTGCACACAGAAGGGAGCCTGAATGCATGGACTTCCTTCTTATGGAGCAACCCTCAGTTCCAATGGGAACAGCTATAATTGATCACTGCTGGGTTTCTGAGAGGTTTCTTTGCCTGGCTGGGTTTGACTGGTCAACTGAGTTGCATGGCAGGATTTCCCAACTGAAGCTAGTGGCAGGATAGAGGACCTGAAAGAGAAGGCAGGGACTTTACCCCAGAGGGTTTCTGATGCTGACCAGGCCTCTGCACCCTAGTGCTACATGATTAGAAACCTTACATTCCCCCATTTACCTGAAGCAAGGGGTTTAGAGAGGCAAATAAAATTGCTTTTATTTTTCATCGTCAGCCTGGTGGCATGAGCAACCCTCTGCCTGGGCTAATAAATATCATATTTCTGCAAGGATGAGTTCCAGCGCTCTTCAGTCACCCGCACCTAAGCATCAGCTGCCTGTATTGATGGTAGCCATTACTGGACATGTTCTAAATACTGACTCCTGCTACAGAGTCACAGCTAAGCTTCCACTGACA